GGTGCCCCTATATCATTCATTACAATACACTAAATTTCTAACTCCGCAACAATATCGTGGGTTTCCGTCCAGTGGTGGCACGGTCTCGCCCTCGACCATAGTTGACTTTACCCACGTCTACGTGTTTTCGAGATGATTCACGACTAATACGAAAAGGAAATTTCGTACATACTCGAATATATTGCATAAGTTGCGCATAGTCGCGAGAAAAATGGAAGTCGATGTGCATCGTTGTAGATAACCTGCGCGTCGGGACCTTTCTATGTGGAAACATTCTAACTGTCTGAGAAGTTGGATGATCTGGAGTGAGGAGGTTCGATATCACCGCCTATTTGAACTATTTTGCCTCAAAATCTCACGGGAAACTTTCTGGTCCCTATTGAAAGCGCGAAAGGTACATTCTAAGGCCTGTATTTGTGACGAGAGTGCCAACGGAATCTTTAGAAGCACACAAAGCTTCTCCTAGACGACTTTATCTTCGAGATACTACACCTCGATCTTACCAAAACACCGTCAACATTCAAGTGTTATTTCTAATCGACAGCCGATCTTCACGTAAGCCACACAGATGAAGGAGCTATTACCGACTAGCTGCGACATAGATTGAGTAACTGAGCGCTTACTCGGGGGAGGAAAAGGATAATAAGGCTCGTTCTATTTCAATACAAGATGAGTTGCCAATGAGGTACTAGAGTTTCCGAACACATGTCTCCATCTGTTTCATTCCATCCAGGTCAGTACTTATGCCGCGCCAGTCTCGATGGGAGTTGCTGTTAGTGTAGGAGGTGCGGTTAGAGTTATAATCGGAGGGCCTACAAAGTATTTAGAAAGATGTGAATCTAATTGCATGAACAAAACATACCGATAGAACTACAAAACACCTTTGCGTCGAATCCACCGTCAAATGTGCCGGGACAATAAATTTCTTGGCAGATTCGGGCCACGCGCATATTGTCCCACCCAAACACCGGGCATAATTATTGACGAATGCCTCGGTACAAAGGCAAGGTTTGAGGTTGTCAGAGTGGTTCGTTTGACAAAATGCAGTTTAAATGCTGTGTATAAGGAGTTGCAACCTCGTTGCTGCCACGACGCAGCCGGGTCGCCATT